GTAGTTAACAAATAGTCATTAATACAGTATATTGTGAATACACTATAAGAAATTAATTCGTATTATCTAATCAAACAAAAGTTTACAAGCTATCATATAATAAATTATTAGGTTATCAAGTTATCCAAAAAATTATTTGCTATTGCCTTTGGCTAACCATAATAATTTAACCATTCAATAAACCAGGGTGAGTATGAAGGTTAATTCTGTTCACTTTAATGATTGTGTTTCAAGGAAGTGTATGATTAACCATAATCATTTAATCATTCAATAATTTACTAGAGTATGAAGGTTAATTCTGTTCACTTTAATGATTGTTTTTCAAGAGAATGTATTATTTATTGTAATCATTCAATTGTTCAGCATGAGTATAAAGTTTAATTCTGTTCACTTTAACGCTTGTGTTTCAAGAGAATGTATTATTAATTGTAAGCAATTTCAATAAATCACTAGTATGAGTATAAAGTTTGATTCTGTTTATTTATTAGAATATTTACTTATATAGAATATGCTATAAAAAGAGTTCTAAAGAATTTAAATGCTGTATTAACAAACAAAATATTGGATTAGTTAAAATTAATATTTATTAGAATATTTACTTATATACAATATGCTATAAAAAAAAAAACATAAAAAATTTTTGCATATAAAGAACTTGTAGTAGATATATACAACTTGTTAAATACAACAAAATTACAACTAATCAAGAAAAATTATACTGATCGATATTCAAGGTTTAGAAAAATTACTACTAATTTATATACAACAAGATCCTATGCAAAAAAAAAAAAACATAATAAATACAACTTGAATATAACAAAAAAACTTTTTGGAGCAAGCTTAGATCGATCTAAATGCTTAATGCAACTCTGATCAAAATAGATCAAATAAGATAATATAAAAAAAGGAAATATGATGAATCACAAGCAATGACAAAGACCAATACAAGCAAATATATATATACAAATATATATATAAATAGCAATAATCAGAGATATGCCAACAAAAAGATAAAAGGATTAACTTTTATAATATCATTTAAATCATTTAATTTTTTTATTTTACACCTTGTGAGAGGACACTAGATGGTATACTTTATTTAATTAATCTATTATATTATATTGTATTCATATCACATTCTATATTATTAATTCAGAATTGTATATTTATTAGAATTTTAGTTTTTTTTGCATATGCGATTTATTGCTACTCTTAACAGTTAGTAGTCCCTGATTGTGTAACGTGGAAATCAAAACAAACCCTTTGTAGCGCGTTAGTTTAGAGTTAGGGTCAAGGCTACATTAGAGTTAGGGTCAAGGCTACATTAGAGTTAGGGAAGAGCAATAGTAAAACGCTCCTAACCCAAAATTTTACAAGGAATTTTTTTATTAGAATGTGAAAGGAGGTTTTATAAACGGAAAATTGAGTTACAGACAATTTCTTTAAAAAAACGCTATTGTTTTGATTTTCATGTTATACCTGATCTTGAATTCTGATTAGTCAATTAAGAGGTACGTAACAATGCACCTGAGTTAAATTATATAATCCTATTCATTTTTTACTTATTTTGTTATACTTTAATATCTTGAATTCTTTTATAATTCTATTTTTAATGACTGTAAAAGGAATAAAACTAGGAATAGCTACTCTTTCCCATCTAACTTGCATATAACAATACCAAATCTCATAAATTGTATTAGTATAGAGCCATTTTGCTATTTCCTTTTTTGTTATATCTTAAATGTTTGAGGCTATAATGATCTCTTCCAGAGTCATCAGTAGAGACTCCTCATTACCAGGTATGAATAAGTATATAACTTTCCATATTTCATTACTGCTTATATATCTGATTCCAAAGTATTCAAGAGTTTGAGTTTCCTCATTACACATTGGGCGTTCACTATTATTGTTACGTAT